ATTGTGTGTGTCTGTGTGTGTGTGTGGAGCGGCCGTTTGTCTGCATGTGCAAAGGGCTTCTGTTTGCCCACCTCTCGAAAAAAAAACCGATGTGTCGACAGCCGGCGTGAAACACCCCGTCTCCACGAGTCAGCAGAACCTTCCAGCGTTATGGTACAGTAGTAAATGTGAGTCCCTGTTCCCTAATTACTTTAAACCAGAACAGCCAGGGCGTAAAATACTGAACAATGGATGAAACGTGTGACTTGCTGAATGTATACGTGGGCCTTTTTTTTTTTTTAAAGTCCAGGCGCCTGAATCAGCGCTTGACTTAAGTGCCGGACCAACTCGTGCTTCTTGTCTGAAGCGTGAGGTAATTGTAGTGCGCTTCACTTACGCCCAATTATGTGTCAGAGCGTGTGATTCAATGGAGACGAGCGTCAGTGGAACAACTTAAAGTCACGCACGGGGATCATTACCCGCCGGAATCCCCGAGCGCGCGGCCGGGAATTTCAAAACAAGGTGTGTGTCTGAGGAGTGGAACCTGCATCGGCGTATCGGCGCTGGTTCAGGCTCCGCGGCGGCGCCTCCTCTGTTATCACTTCAACATAAAAAGACTCAAAGAGTGTGTGTGTGTGTGTGTGTGTGTGCGCACGTCTTTGCCCCGTGCGAGTTCACGTGTTGCCGGTTCCCGGCTCCGTCGGCGGCCATTTTTAAAACACATCTGCTCGTCGGCGGTGTTTCGCTCCGTCCGGACGGGGATGGCCGAGGTGACCCGCGGCGAGCGGATTCCCCCGAGTCCCCCGGAGGATTCCTCGCGTCTGATTCCCGCTGCTTCAGAAGTTCGCGGGTCGAGTGCAGGCCGTCGATCTGATCTCGGGCTGATTAAAATGATGCATTTAAGCTAATGCCCCCCCGGCGGCGGATCGCGCCGATGACGCCCCTCTGGTTTCTACCAGTCCTTTTTGCTGTAATTAAGACCCCTCCAAAGCACTGATGCTATCACAGAGGGGAAAAGGACAAACAACCCACAGCGTTGAACAAGTCGTTGACTTTGGATTAATCGGGCTAATCGCAGTCACCTCGACGCGTTTGACCGCGCGGCGCACACCTGTCCAAACAGAGCTCAACGCACGACCTCATCGGTTGGAGGGGCGGAGGAATACGGGTTGGATGACCCACGTTGTCACGAGGCATCCCGGTGCACTGCTGTATCAGGGCACAACACCGACATCCATGCAATACTGATCCGACGTGCCAGAAAAACAACTCGCAGAGCGCAAAGACTTTGAAGCTCAAGGAACCGAGCGCGTTGATCAGGAAAAAGTCCCTTTTCCTGAAGTGCAGACGTGTCATGGCCGTGCGTGCGCTCTTTGTTTCTCTGCTCATCACATTTCGCCTCGTCAATAATTGATGGTCTGCGGCGGCGAGGCAGAGCCCATTGTGCCTGGCTGGGCGTGCGGGGCGCTGACATGTGGCTCCTGCCGCTCCCGCTGCCCTCCAGTGCAGACGGGGTCCGTGGCGGGAGGTCAGCGACCAGCTGTGGGCCGGGGGGGGGGGAAACGGGGGCCGGCAGGTCAGGCCGCCGTTCGGCCTCTCGCCTGTGATTGATTGGACCTTCTAATGCTTTTGGGACCGATTGAACGGTCA